CAATGATTGTTACTAGCACACGTAAGCCAAGCTCCCCCTGACACATCCTAATATCTTCCCCACAGCACATACTGTGTGCCATATTATCCCCAGTCTATCAAGCAGATCAAATCAGCCACTGCCACTAAGACACATAGGGGTTACAGCCATGTAACCAGCACACATAGATTTACTTCCTGTTTTAAGCAAACTATTATTATCGCAAAATATGTACATACATTCAGCTTGTATACTTACATAAATGCATTCATCTATGTCCCAGATCAGATACTTACATATATCAATATATGAATGTATTTAATGAATGGCGAACTGTGGTAAATGGAAAGCTGAATTCCTAAATTCAGGATGCAATAAAGCTGTAACTGCAGATTTGTTGTAGAATTATGATCTAAATTGTGCAATTTTGTTTCCAGTTCAATACAATTCACTTTTGGTTAAGGGCCAGTTTTCCTAATACATTAGTTCGGACTGTCCCTAATATGATTGTTTCAGTATATTACAATAAAGCCACAATCAACGTAGCATTCTAATGTCAAATTTCTCTTTGCATTTGGTTTGTTGACTATTGTTATGTTGGTTTTTAACTGTATACATGGTTTTAAACCTGTGCCAATGTTGTCCGCACACTCCTTATAATCTAACCTCAGTTTGCACGTTGTTGCCCCTTCATAATGTCATAGCAATACTTGAAATCCAGTCACACACATAGATAGATACGCAGTTAATAATTACTGCATCAGGACCCCATATGTTGTCCATCATTCATATGATAGCAAATCTAAAAAAAATCTGCATTGCAGCCCGTGGAGTCAGTCTTTTAAGGGAAACACGGATTATCAATGTTGGCATATTACTGAAGCAGATAGAGAGTCATGAATAATGTTATGAATAAGACAACATATTTAGGAGATAAAGTTTAAGAGAGTCTCAATATTATTCCCACAATGCACCAAGCCGGCAACAGCAACATAACCTTTTGGGAAATAACAGAAATGGTTTTCAAACCATTCTCCATTCCAAAGGGTAACATTACACATATATGTTAAAAGAAAAGTAATAACAGCCATAATTTTTCTTTAAAAGTATATTCTTACAGCACAACGTGAATTAATATTAATAAATTTTTTCCCCACAACAATATTGTTAGGCCGTGGGTCCATTAGGAAACAGAACCATAAAAGTCAAATCCTTTCTCTGGTGAGCTGTGAAAGAATGCACAATGTATAATGGTGACACACAAAGGTTCTCTAATGTTTTTTACATGTTGATTTAACCTTTTAACTGCCAGAGGAGCTTAACAATGATTATGAAACTCACATGGTCAAAGGAACACTCCAGACAATTGAAGCACTTCAATTCACTTCCAGTGCTTTATGTGTCTGGAATCTGTCATATTTGTGATAGCTTATAATTATAGATTTCTATTCAATTACACTTCCTGGTGGTCCAATAGCTTTTTATTCCTAGTTCCTGTCTTTTACCTGTGGCCAGGAAGGGAGACATTACCCTCCTTGGTGGTCTAGTGGCTGTGTGCCCATGTCTGTATTATTATTATATCTGTGTGTAGTACAGATATAGTTCAGTGTTTAATATTCACATTGTAGAGAGGGTGGCAAAGACCCAGTGCACACTATCTTCTGCTTCAGGCAAGACCTCTTTCCACCCCTATAAATTGGCACCAGGAAACATTTTGAATTTTGTTGTGGCAACAGACTCAGACCTTTTAAATGCCCCTGAAGAAGTCTTAAGAACAAGACAAAACGCGTAGGGCTGCTTACAATTTATATTTTATTTAGCACTATTTATTATTTTGCTTCCTTCTTCCAATCTTTGAACCTTTGGATCAGAGTATACCTTTCACCATACCACTCTGGACCGGGACAGGTGTCTACAGAACATATTGGTTGAGGGGCATTCTTTTAACTTTTATCTTGTGAGTGTAACCTAATACCACAGTGATGCACTATGTTTTGCTTTTGTTTCTTTTTACATGTGCCTACCCACAATTGAAATGGAAGCAGTATCATATTGGTGAGCCCAAGTGTAACCTTGAACCTTTAGTATTATCAGTGTTTATTCTGTATTACCCTATGAGTTGAATTTTGTTTTTTGATAGATATATTTCAGTTGTTTTTAGTGTATTGAAGATATAGAGGAATCCTGTATTATATCTACATTTTTAAGTGAAAGGATAATTACGATTCATTTTGTACTTTTTGCACTGCACTTTAGAAGTGGTTATAGTGGTTCTATTTAATAGCTTCTACAAAAGAGGAATTAGGGAGGACTCTGCATATTATTGACTTTACTGCCTATCCCTACCTGGCCTAAGCACATATGACTATTTTACAGTGTACAATACAAAGTTAAATTATTAATTTAACACTCTGCATGTGACTCTTTATGCTATTCTGGAATCCGGACCTTGACTTGTCACGATTACTCATTGTCAGCTGCCTCGACCACCTTATTGGCTTGTTTTACTGACTACTCTGATTTCTGGATTCCCTGATCTCAACCCGACCCTGTTTATGTTACACTCAGTCATTATAACGTGGCTAGACCACACAACTCAAAATACATAATTTGGAATACCCTGGGTTTCCTACTTTTAAAAATGATACGCCCTCCTGGAGACAATTTTCTTTCCTGAGCTGCCATACTGCCTCAAAGGTGACATAAGCCCATAAAATCACTTTCTCAAATTTGCAGGTATGAAGACTGAAATGGGTAACCTGTACATGGGGGTACTGTTGTACTCATGAGACACCAAAAAACAAACATGAACACTAACTTTGGCCAGGGCTTGTGACTAAGTGGTTACTAAAAAAGACTAGACCAACCCCATTTTGAATACACTGAGTTGCCTACTTTTGCAAATTGTATGCTATAGGGGTCATTTTCATTCCTGTGCTGTCATAGGGTCTCAAACGCAACATAAGCCCAGCAAACCAATCTGTTAAATTTCAATGTGTAAAACCTGAAATGGGAAACCCCAGTATTTGACCTCATGAACCAAATAAACACTGTAAAACCTGTATGTGGTGAATACTGCTGTACTGCTGTACTTGTTTTGTTGCAGTAAAAGTTAACAGTTTTATGATATTCACAGTTAAAATGCCCTGAAGAATTTGGAAAATAACAAAATTCCTTAATTTCTCACATTTTGTTTTAGATTGTATTCCTATTAAATTATGTTTCATATAAGAATATTTTATGTGAAACGAAAGCCCTATTTCCCAAGAGCAGAATTATATATAATAAGTATGTGTCCACTAAATATAAAAGAGGTAAATTATGGTTGAACAGACAAATAACTCAAATTCCAAGTTTTGTTTTGATTCAGAACTTGGACAATTGCCAACGTCCTTAAGGGATTAAATATTGAGAGCATACCTTGTTAAGAATTAAAATGATGAAATGTACCCTTAGAGAAGAAACTAAGCCACAGCTAATCTGTCCGATGGATACTTGACAATTATTGATTGAACAAATCAATAAGCAACTGAACGAATTACTGTTTAGCAAAACCATGTACATGTTTTATAGATTAAAACTGAAAACATACACCCAGGGCAACAAAACGGGAAAGGCCTTAGCTTTAATATTACGCCAAAAACAAGCTCAATCAAAAATCCGATACTTGTTGGCGTCCACAGGAAATAAGATTTTCAACCCACACAATGTCAACAATGTCTCCAATTTCCCTATAAGAACTCACGCGTACTATACATTCTTTTCCCCCAGGGAAATCACTTGGCCCAGATGGCTTCACAAACTATTACTACAAAACATTCTACTCAATCATAGCCCCCATTTGGTGAAGACCCTCAACCATATCATGATATGCGTTTAATGCCACCTGAGATGTTACTGGCCAACATTGCTACACTGCAAAACCCGGTAAACCCCCTAACAAACCTCAAAACCTGTGGCCTATATCTCTAATGAATACAGACACCAAGCTCCTTGCAAAAATATATGCCAACAGACTCTCAAACATGATCACCACTTTGATACACATGGTTTAAGTGAGGTTTGTAGCCGGTAGACAGGGAGTAGATGGGACTAGGAAACTTTTAAGCCTGTTATATGGTACACGCGACATGAGGAGGCTCGGTGCATTCATCTCTCTAGACGCTAAAAAATCGTTTGATAGACTGCACTGTCGCTTCCTCATGGCCGTTCTAAACAAATTTAACCTCCCACCACAATTCCTATTGATTGTGTCAGCTCTCTACTCTAAACCATGCGTTCGAGTAGCAAATTGTGGATTCCTGTCCTCAGAGTTTGAAATCACCAATGGTACATGCCAGGGAATTCCCCACTTCCCCCCTTACTTTAAATCCTAGCCTTAAAACCATTAGCACACCTCATACGAGATAACTGAAACCTAAGTGGAATCCCAGTAGGTGACACAGAATATAAAATCACAATGTTTGTAGATGATATCATGTTGTCCTTCACAAACCCTGATATATCACTGATATATCAGTGCCACATTTTCATAATGTCCTCAAACAGTACAGTGGTAGAAAGAGGATGAAGGCACTCCAAGTATCTTCAATTGTATTTATTTGGATAAGTGAGACACCACAACGTGTCGACTCCCTGGGGCTGGTGCTGGCCCTTGGTCCAGTTTAGCACCCCTATCTTCACGTGACTGGAGTGTGGTTCGTTTTTTTCTCTTTTCTCAAACAGTACAGTGCCTGCTCCTATTACAAATTAAACATCACAAAGATGCAGGCAATGGGCTTACATGTGCCCCCTATGCTTTCACAAAAATTCACCAAACCTATTCCTACGAATGGAGAAATTTTTATCTCATATTCCTGGGCATAGCACTAACAACCAATTCCCAGGGCCAAATTACACTAAACTATATAAAACCATAAACACCAACTTCTCAGCTGGAGGGGCAAATATGTTTAATGGATGGGGCGGTGCATACCAGCAGTGAAAACCTCCTCCTCCCCAAACTCTAATACCTGTTCCGCATGCTTCAGATAAGACTCACAACCTACTACATCAAAGAAACACAGAAATTAGTCAACAGGTTTATGTGGGATAATAAAAAACCCAGAGTGGTGGCATCCACTCTATATACCCCTTCTAAAAAAGGAGTGAAGGGCCTAACTAACCTCACTACATATTACACAGCAATTAAGCTCAACCCGCTAATAATGGCCTTTCAGATAGAAGCCACACACACAGGGGGGCAGGACATTGCATCACTGATGTGGACCCCACAACATCTTAGGCAGAAATATCACCACATTATGCCTACAACATCCATAACTCTATTCATATGGTACCGAACCACAAAACACACAAATCACAGTATTTCCCATGCGATGCCAATAAAAGCGTTAGCAACCCTCATACCAGACTCCAACACTACAGTATGGACCTCGCACAGCATTTCCTTTCTACCCCAGATGATCCACAAGCATGATCTCTATTCCTTTGAACACCTGCAAAATACGTAGAACTTGCCCAACTTGGCAACATTTTCATACCTACTACTTAAATCCTTCAAGAAACATAATAATACTGAGTTGCAATCTGTAAATGGGCAGCAGCTGTCGGATTTGGAAAACCTATGCATACAACAGGAGATACCCCGAAAATTATATCCTTAATATATAACAGTGAAACCTTACAACAAGGCACTAATCGGCCTCCATTTGTTATGGCCTGGGAAACAGATTTCCAGAAAACACTAGCAAACGCCCAATTCTCTCAGATCCTTTTGGCAAACAAAAAGTTGAAAAGCTTTGTACATTCCATATAGAACTGTCAAATAAACTGCTTACGCTCAGGTTTATACACATAGCCTATTCTCTTGTCTAAATCCTGTCTACATCTTGCTAGATAAATTCCACTTTGCTTCTATCTGATATGCACATATGGTAGACTGTGGGGATAAGAAACGATTGGCAAATTGGCAGGACCATAGCCATAGCCTGTCCTTGTTTACCCCCTTATGGTATGCTTTTTTTGCTTTGTGCTTGCAATCCCTAAAAATCAGTGCACAGTGCAATTGTAAAACCAACAATGTAGATTTCATCAAAGCGTAATATATACTGTGATGACTGTTCTTGCTACTACTGCAATCAACACAATTTTGTTTAAATCATGATGCATTGCTTTGCTACATCAATTGCTTTGCTTTTTATTTTGTACTGTGCATTTGCAAAAACTGCTAAAAAAAAATGAATTATGAAATGTTTTTCTGTTATTTTATTTTAGTATACTTCATTGTGTATATCACATTTATGTTTAAAGGATCACCTGATAAGTTACATGTGACACAGATTTGCAGCAATAATATGAAGAACTGATTTTTTTTTCCAAATATTTTCTGTTAAAAGCAAACTTTCAAAAACATAAATGACACGTGCAAATTGCACAAAGCCAGTTTATACGGATGCGAAAAAGACACATGCTGATCTAAATCTGTGCCCTGGGGATGTATTTGGCTTCATATCCTCAATGGCATTCCATTCTGGGTCTTCACAGTCAGGGAACAAGATGTGTTACAATAGCCTTATTCTATTCTCCACTCAGGTCAAGGTATATAGAGCTTTGTTTTATTGGGAGACACAGAAGCTAAAAATAGAAAACATTTAATACAAAGGTCCTAAAAACCTCAGGAAAACAAAAAAAACTGTTATATGTCTCCATTATCTTAAAGTAACAATGCAAAGCTTTGTTTTCACCCTTCACTAACACATATATATCAACAAAATGTGACAATCTTACATAGACTGTGTGGAAAATAATATGCAGTGGGAAATGTATTTTACACTATTTAAAAATAATATTCTTCTGCATCCAATATAAGAGGTTACTAATAAAACAATTTAATATGTCATTCAGAACTGCACTGCACGACTTTCTTCATCAGTCTGTGCATCAAAATCAGATCCAGAGTGTAATTTAAAGGACATTTACTAACATCGTATGCCAGGATAGCAGTGTACCCATGTCGTCTGCTACACAGATACTGAAGATAAATATTTAATGACATTTTATTCTAGGCATGAAGAATATATATACGTGCATGGTTGGAATGTGATAGCATACTTCTGACATCTGTGCATACATGACATTGGAAGTGAAAATCACTAGAACATGTTACGAATGGCTTTAAGGAGTATACTCAAAGGGTTAGTAGTGAATAATATTTTTTTCTCACCATAATGACACTTTTCCTGAATAATTTTATTGTTACCATTGAGATATAAACAAAATCAAGATGCACATGACATATGGGAATGGCACATTACAGCTAGCTCTAAAACTAGTTTTCAGATACAATTTCTTCAAGCTCACAATCATGTGTTCTTTAGAATGATAATGCTATATATATCTTGAACAGTTTATAACTGATCATCAAGATTGATGATCTCAGCAATGGAGGCAGGGCCAGATGTCGCAAGACGGGTGCAATGACAGAGAAAAGGTGAGTAAAATCTACTTTTCACTCCACTCTGGGGGAGAGAGAGGGTATCTAAACAGCCACTCCAGGACTATAGTGTTGATTAGTTAACTTAATATGTGGCTAGCAAAATGTGAACTTGTGCTTTGCTCAATAAAATATTCTCACACTAGCAAAGGCATCTCCCTCCTAGGAAAAAAAGAGTACTATAAAGACAAGGGAAAATATTATCAGTCTTTAGACTGGATGGGTTTAATACAAAGATCTCCAGAATGAGAGAGACATTAACAGAAAGAAACCAAGGTAAGGGAGACCAAAATAACGACGTACATAGTCTGGTCTAGATAACAGAATTCAGAAGACACCGTGAAACAAAAGTAAGTCTGAAACAGGAATCAAAGTTATAAAAACGTATAATAGTAATGCTAGTATTATTACTAATACTAAATAGGCGCAGGGGTGTGCAACCTTCAGGACTCCGGATATGGATATCTCTCATAGTGCTCCTACAACTGTAATGCTGGCAAAGCATCAGAGGAGATGTGGTTCACAACATCTGGTGTGACAAAGGTTGCATAGCCTTACACTAGAGTGAAAAGACATGGAAAGAAAGACCATTATATGGCCAAAACTAAATTTCAGCCTCAGGTATTTGTAGACATAGAATGCTCAGGTACCCCTACCTTCTCCAAAAAAAATCCAGTACTCAGTCACTTTACTGAGAGGGTAGTGGATGCATGGAATAGCCTTCCAGCTGAAGTGATAGAGGTTAACACAGTGAAGAAGTTTAAGCATGCGTGGGATAGGCATAAGGCTATCCTAACTACAAGATAAGGCCAGGGACTAATGAAAGTATTTAGAAAATTGGGCAGACTAGATGGGCCGAATGGTTCTTATCTGCCGTCACATTCTATGTTTCTATGTTTCCAAGAGAAGCATCCTTTCAGGTAGACAACAATAAGCAATGTCCTACTCAGCCTGTTGGCAAATCCGGTCCTGAATATGGCAAAAAAAAAACATAATTAAATTATCTGCTAATGTAATTAATGTAACTAATGTAACTAAAGTCACGTTAAAAGTGGTCCTTAGTGAAACAGAAGTGCCACAGAAGAGTAGAATGGTGAGAGTCCCAAGCATTAAACCAATCCCGAGCATTGAACCATGTACTCAATATGATGAAATATTGTATATTAAATTGAAACAATAATGCAGTGTTGAACAAAACTCCACAATAACAGATTGGGAATATAGCCCCAGGAGTGACGTTCTATTACAATTGTATGTATGATGCTAGACAGATCACCCGGCAGTATATTTACAGTGGGTCACAGAGGAAAAGATTATTAGATATCTACTGAATGATTTCATCAAGGTAAGTATTGCTGCTTTATTACTTTAAGCTGGCATAAATATCCCCGTCTGTGCATTAAAATAAAGCAGAAATACTTCCCTTGACAAACTTTCTTTTTCACAGATTTTTATCTTGGCCAGAAATTTGCACCAGGGCAATTATACCTGAAGACGCCTAATGGGAATCTCTAGTCTGTTTTATGTATTTTGACTTTAGAATTAAACTACCCCAATTCACATAATGGGATTAAATATATATTAATAATGTCAAGATAATTTCTCAAGAAAAAAAAGACTAAATATTAACAATAAAAAAAACATAAAAATTAAATCTAAAAAATTAAAATGAAGCTTTAAAATATTTCGGTGTAAAAATATTTTTTTTTTTCTTTTTCTTTTTCTAACAGGAATATTTCCTTTTAATGATACTTCAAGTCTCTGTTGTGCTTAAGTGATGCTTGCCAGGCAGGACAGAACAAGGTTGTTGTCCTATAAGAGTAAGCAGGCGGAGTCTTCAGTGACTGATGTAGAAGTATTTGACTGATGCAGTGTGTTTGCAGACACACACACATACCAGGAATGGCTGAAAAAGGCTCATTACTGACATCCTCTGAAGTATTCTGGACAGTCTGATACAACTTTCCAGAACAGCTCCCTAATTAAAACCTGGGCAAATTCCTCTGCGAAATCTGTTTCAAAAGCCATTAACACAGAAACTCCACTTAAAGGTAAATAAAGAAGTATGTGTATTTTGTGTTTTAAAAATGTACTGTTTAAGTTGAGTGATAATACACGTAACCCAACAATATATTAAGTGAAGCTGTTCTTATTTAATGTTAGTTTATTTAATGTTCATATACTATATATTTATATATATATATATATATATAGTGATTATATTATGTTATTGTATATACGTTATGTATGTAAAAGTTGTACATGTGTGTGCTTGAGTGTTTGTGTGCAATGGTTTGTTCATGACAATAAGGCACTGTTGTGTCTTGAATATATAGAATATATGTGTTATGCATGTATATTATATATAACAGTATAACAATGTTCAAACTTGGGTATTTTGACCTAAATTTTACATGCAGATTGCCAGCACTTCTTAACTCTACTGTTCAAAAAACAAACAATAACTAATGTGATTTTGGTCAAAGTTATGCCACTTGGGTTTTCTCTACAACCTTAGATGTGTAAATAACATTTATGATAGCCAGTGCAATACAAAAATAATATATTATATGTAAAGTAAAATGTGAAACATTTTTTTTTCTATTACTTTTTTTTTCTCTTGAACAAACACACTTCTTTGAGTATGCATGTATATCGGGATTAAACTGCCTAAATGCACAAGTTCAATGTTATTTCAACCTCTTCATGTCTAATGACCTACCAGAACATTCATGGAAAATGAATTTTTGTCTTAGCTGTTAATTCCAACTTTTTTCAGAACTTTTGTAATATAAGTAACATTGATGGCTATTTGTTATCTAAATACACAAATAGAGATAGAGTTTTATCACATACATGGATTTTAATAAAATACATCTGTAAGTTGGAGAAAAAGCATTAAGTTAAATTCTCAAAACTTTTATTAGTGAATATAGAAAGGGAAGGTAATAGTGTTTATACAGCTTTTGGTTGGCTGTACAGATGTTTTATTTCTACACATTTTATGCTCAGTTTCTT